AGCCTGGAGTTGTGCTTGGGATTGCCCCGACCCGGATGTAGGACCTTGCACTTGGCCTTGTTGAACTTCATGAGGTTGGCATGGGCCCCCCTCTCCAGCCTGTCCAGGTCCCTCTGGATGGCATCCCTCCCCTCCAGCGTGTCATTTTCATTTTCCGCATCAATAGTTGGACAAATATTGCCGATTTTCATTCACATTCCTGTCTGGTTTTCCCCTCTGTTTTGGGTTGTTTGGTTGGGGGTTTTTTTTGGAAAAAGTTTGCAAATGTCTTTCAAAGTTTTGACGTGAAACTAAAATTCATTACTGTATTGCAAAGCAATAAAAAAAGGTTGAAAATTGACCCTGAGTGGAGCAACCCGAGGGTTAAAATTCCGTTGAGCCACTCCAGCCCCAGCAGGACGGTGGTGCCGGTGCCGGGGGGGGGAGCCTTTGGCCCTCTGCGCACTCCGGGTTTGCGTTGCTCTCCTCCCGCAGACATCGACGAGTGCAGCAGCGGGGAGAACCTCTGCCAGCGCAACGCCGACTGCATCAACATCCCGGGCAGTTACAGGTGCGAATGCTCAACCGGATACAAGCTGTCGCCTAGCGGAGCCTGCGTGGGTAAGATGGGAGCTCTTTGCTACCTATTCCAGAGACACGTGTGGGAGGCACTGACACCCCTGCCTGGGCGCTTCGGACGCTTTTGCAGACCTCCCTGGGTGGACCCGAGGAAGGACGGCATGAAGGACATGCCAGTCCCGTGCGTGGGTTCCTGGTCTTTTGTCAAACCTGGGGATTGTGACCTGGCTGTGCTGGGGTTATGGCATACCTGTACTTTTGGGACAATTCCCAGGGAATTGTGGGCTCCTGAGGGATGAGGAAAAAGGTCGCTGTGAAGTGCAGCTTTAGTCTGGCAGCTCAGGCCATTTTCTCCAGTTAAATTTATTATTTTCTTCTGGAGATCGTAGCGCTTAAGTATTGTTCTTTGGGAAGTCATCTCTCAGAAAACGGAGGCCCCGTTCTGCTGTGCTGCCCCACCAGCAGGCAGGGGTCTGCCCAAGGCCAGTGTCCCGGCTCTTCCCGCTGGCTCCATCCCTTCTTCTCACTAGTGCCCGCTTTGCTTCGTTGTAGGTCGCAACGAATGCCAGGAGATCCCCAACGTCTGCAGCCATGGGGACTGCGTTGACACCGAGGGCAGCTACGTCTGCATCTGCCACAACGGCTTCAAGGCCACGGGGGAGCAGACCATGTGCATGGGTCAGTGTGACTGCCACGGCCCTGCCGTGGATCAGATATCAGGATGGACGTGAGCTCTCTCCAGCGCCCGCTGGGGAGCGCCGAGGACAGCCAAGGACCACAGTGTCCTCTTGATCCCCATGTGCCCCTGTGCTGCCCCAAAAGGGCTCTCGCATCACCTTCAAGCCACGGGGGTGTTGTGCAGCTGCCCGGACCCTGTCTGCACACCCAAAACAGGGACTTTCCGCTCACTCAGCCCCTGAATCAGCTCTGACCTTCTCTCCGCAGATATTGATGAGTGCGACCGACAGCCCTGTGGGAATGGGACCTGCAAGAACACAGTTGGCTCCTACAACTGCCTCTGCTTCCCTGGCTTTGAGCTAACGCACAATAACGACTGCATGGGTGAGTTGCATGAAATCCCGACCGTGCGGATCGCTGATTGGGGTCAACGTGGCAACGGCTGCGGGGCAGGGGGTGTCACACAGTGGCACCCAGGAGGTCAGCTCGGGGTGTCACCTGGCGGTGGCTGTAGGGGTGGCTGTATGTGTCAGAGGTGTAGGGCCGGCTAAGGCGG